GAGAGGCCAGCTCAGCCCACCAGGGGGCGGGCTGGCTGGCATGTGGTGCTGGGGGATTGAACCGCGGTCCCTGATGCTTTTGCTGAGCTTGTTCTAAGTAGGTGCTTTAGACCACTGAGCCATCTCTCCAGCCCCAGCTGACTTTGATTGAACACATGAAGTAACCAATGTTGGCCTTGAATTTAGCAGTCATCCTCCTGCCTCAGCTTCCCAAGTTCTGGGATTATAGGCATGCACCACCGCACCTGACAAAAATTATTTTTAGATTATTGACCCATGAAAAATTGCTGTGGGTGCAAATTACTTGAAAAAATACTCTTATAAAAGCTTATGTAGGTTTGGGAAGAAATGCACAGAAGTAGTGTAGGTAGTGTTACTGAAAATTATCTGAAAAAATGGATGCTTTTGTGGCCATAAAAAAGCCAAACATACCATGATATATTGTGTATAGTACACAAATCAGCCACTTTTATGTATAAAATGTTTTAAAGAAATTCATAAAGAATTACTATGAAATACATTTGTCAATTATTATAATTATAATTGGTATGAGTAATATTAATAACATATTTGTGCACTAACTCACATTCAAGCAACTAATTGGATTTGGTCCATTTCTGGATTTTTTATTAATTTGCTTAGTAAAATGGTCAAACTCCCTAATGGGACTGTTGTGGATTTACCACTGGTAATTCAAGCTGTTGAGATACATGTTTTTATAAAAAGTTTTGAGTTTGGCCAGAAAGGAAGCTCAGATAAAGTTGGGGCCCACAAAGTTGGAGCAAATGAGAGCTTGGTTGCTGAAATAAAAAGTCAGTACTGCAGAACAGTAGAAAAAAATGGCTTGAGAGCAGTATTGGAACAGCAAGATCCTCCCTTGGCAAAGCTGAAGGGTGCAAGGATGAAAGGCTTTGAGGAGCAAGCCTGGGGGCACTCAGTTGGAGAAGAGCTTCCTAGGGCATTCATGCTCCAGGATTCAGTTTATGCAGCTCAGCCAGCCATGCACTCCAGGCCTCTACAGCCACCAGCAAGTTTCAAGAGGACTTGACAACTGCTCTGGCTCGTGGCAGACTTTGGCATCTTTCACATGATGTTGGTTTTAGGTACATGCAAAATGCAAGAGTTGTGGGGTCAGTAAGGCATTCTCCCAGATTTCAGAAGAGGTGAAGGAGGTGAGGCAGTGAGCCTCTGAGGACAGTGCGTGAAGCTGTGAGTGTGAAGCCAAAAGTACAGTGGAGACCTTCCGATAGTCCATTGTCTGAGGAAAAGCTGCAAGGAGTGACCAAGCCAGCCCAAGAGAGATGTGGGAGCTGCAACCACTGGCGATACTGTAGGGACAAGGCCACTAAGCCCTCAAGTTCACATTTCACCACAATTGTCCAGGTTTAGTAGACAGGACGCTATGAGATATGATGTTTGCTCTATTGAGTTTTGGTTTTACTTTTGTCCCATTACTTTCTCTCCCCTTATTTCTCTCTTTTGAAACGGAAATATTTACCCTGTGCCTTTGTATGTTGGCAGTATTTACCCCTTTGTATTTTTATTTTTATAGGGACTCACAGGTGAGAATTTGCCATAATCTCAGAAGACACTTTGGATTTAGGCTTTTCAGCAATGCTGAAACTATTAGACTTCAGCAACTTACAGAGAAAGACTAAATACGTTTTGTATTTTTATGCCCATAAGTGTTTTGGAGGCTGGGGGTGGAGTGTTACCATTTATGTCTTGATGTCTTCCCTAAATCTTGTGCTTATAATAAGGTAAGGCTTTTGGGAGGTGGTAGACCTCAGGGACTAATCCATTGATGAGTTTACAGCTAGGTGCACTGTTGGGAAGCATAGCTGATCTGAGAGGAGGTGAATCACTGGGGATGTGGCCTGGAGGGGTCCATCATCCCACCCTTTGGTCTCTCTCTGCTTCCTTTCTGCCATCCATGAGGAACCCTTCTCACCCCTGCCCCTCTGCCATGCTGCCTGACCTTGGGCTGAAACCTCTGCAGATTATGAGCCAAAGTAAACTTTTCCTCCTTCAGTTTATGGGCATCAGGTATTGGAGTCTCAGTGGTGTCAGAGGAGGATCATTGTACTTTTTTGTCCAAAATGGGACTTATACATCTATTAATATAAATTCACTTAGCTTCTTATATATTCATTAATTCCTAAAGAAAAATCTAACATCTGATTCTCTTTTTTAATGGTGCTATAAATCAAATCCTCAAATTCACACATGATAGGCAAGTGCTGTACATCTGAGCTCTATTGCCAGACCCTAAAGTCTAATTTTCTGAATGAAAATAAGAATAACGAAGGTGGTCAAATCTACAATTTAAACTATTTTATGAAGAAAATAGAATTACTAGTTTTGATATAGTCAGTTTTTACATTGGCTTTAAAATAAATTTATTTTAAATATAATGGAAAGTACTTAGTTGTTTGGGAAGGGTACTCTATTCTATTCTTTTTTTCTAAGTGTGTGAAAGTGTGTTTTGTTTTTGTGGTACTAGAGATGAAATGTAAGGCCGCTTACATGATAGTTAAATATTCAGTCACTGAGCTACACCTCTGGCCATGTGTTTGTGTGTGTGTGTGTGTGTTTTTAAAACTACATTTACGTAAAATTAAAAGAAACCAGAAAATGAAGCATCTTTTAAAATTTATCATTGTAATATTCTTCAGTTCCTTAAAAATGTAGCAGGACTGGGGTGTTAGCTCAGAGGTAGAGCACTTGCCTAGCATTGAGAGACCCGAAGTTCTAGTCCAAATACCACCACCAAAAAAAAAAAAAAAAAGGAAAGCTATTTTACAGCATAAGAAATGCAATTTGTTCACAACTTAAATGCAATCCTGTGGCCAGGCATGGTGGTTATGTACCTATAATCCTAGCTCCTTGGGGAGGCTAGGGCAGGAGTATCACAAATTTAATCAAGCCCAGCATGGACGACTTAGGGAGACCCTGACTCAGTATTTTAAAAAGGGGGCAGGGTAGGTGGAGGTTGTAGCTCAGTGTAGACACCCAGAGTTCAATCCTCAGTACCACCAATCAAACAGTTGATCACCTTATTGATTTTTTTCTTTTTTCTTTTTCTTTTTTTGCAGTACTGGGGATTAAACTCAGGACCTTGAGCTTGCCAGGCAAACACTTATCCTACTGAGCTATCTCCCCTGCCCAGCTTATTGATTAATAAAAAAACAAAATGTGAGAGGTCTTGGTCATGGTTCATGGCAGCATCTGTAGTCTCTGAGGCAATCTCTCTTTTGTAGAGGAAATGGATCACAGTGTCCCACAGTGTCCCTCAGTGTTAGGAGTAGGAAGAACCTAAGCTTAGAACTATATCTCCTTTCATCGTGTTCTGGATTTACCATAGTCTGACCTCTAACTGTCTCTTATGTATTACTCCAGTACTTTTCAAAACTCTTACTCTTCTGCTGGTAGATTCAATCATCCTTAGTCTGCCTTGTACTTTTTCTTGTCACACTTTCCTTCCCTAGGAATGCTCTCTCCTTTTTACTCATGTAAGGCCCCTTACGTGATAGTCAAATATTCGGTCACTGAGCTACATCCCTGGCTCTGTGTGTGTGTGTGTGTGTGTGTGTGTGTGTGTGTGTGTATTTTAAACTACATTTACGTGAAATTAAAGGAAATCAGAAAATGAAGCATCTTTTAAAATTTATTATTGTAATTTTCTGTCTACTGTAATCAACCACCCTGCCTGGTGTGCTTTCCAAATGAAGCCTTCTGACCTGAATGATTGCACCCTTCGGAACTACCTCAGATAGTTGTTTCACTCAGACTTCTTCTGTAGGTCTTTTTCCACTTTTATAGCTTAACATCCCTCTCAGTGTTGTTGAATTGCCCTGTTTTTCTTACAAGGTTTTGCACTGATGAATGAGGTATAAAACTTTGATTCATGTTTGTATCTGCTGTAGCACCTTGAATGAGTGAAGTGCAATAAATGGTTATGAAATCACATTCACAATGAGGTAGAAGTACAGAGAAGGGAAGTGACTTGCCTGGAGCCACACAGCTGGTTTCTGGTTGCATTTATATAAAAAAGTATTAATGTAATACCTCAATATCTTCAAAGATATTGCTGAGGATAGGGAAAATCTGTTTCATTGAGCAAGTGTGAGGAAGAATGATAATGTTTTTGCCAGCCAAAGTGTGGGAAGAATGATAATATTCTCAGTGTGCCACTAAGTCAAGTTTTTCTTCAGCTTGTAGCTATAGGAATGAGGAATCACCCTTTGGATTTGACAGTGCAGTTCACAGCCAGTGCCTGTGTCCTCAATTTAACACACCAGGGCCTGGCCCGGGGGATGCCTGTGCGCCTGTTGTCGGAGGTTACCGGTCTGCTTTTCAAAGCTCTGAGAAATTTCCCCAGTTACCTACAGGTAATTTGAGTTGAATACTGTACTTGTTTGATTTTTTTTTAAAAATGTATTTGTTTGTTTCAGGGTCTCACTATGCAGCTCAGACTCATAGTGATCCTCCTGCTTTCAGCCTTCCCAGTGCTGGGATTACAGGTACCACTGTGTCTGGCCTCTGGCTGGTTCAGCCCGCCCTGGGGGTGGGGCTGGTGTGGCATGTGGGGCTGGAATCAAACTGTAGTCTCTGAGCTTGCCCAAGCTTGCCTAAGCAGGTGCTTTAGTCCACTGAGCTATCTCGTTGGCCTTTTTTTTTGTTTTCTTTAGCGAGAAAAACCCCCAAAATTTCAAAACAAGATTATAGGGTGACAATGGTCAATACATTGCATATTGTTATCTTTAAATTGGTTACTCAGAGTAAAAGATGAAGGCATTTAATTGTCGAAATCGTTTGTGCTTTTTACCCTCATGAAAAATATGTATTATTTAGGTTTTTTTTTTTTTTCATTCTCCCAGCAAGAGAAAGAGAGAGAAAAGGGGAAGAAGAAAAATAGATAAGTTCATGTTTGCTAAAGGAAATAAGAATAAGCAGTGAGGTTAAAAATTTTCAAACTCTCATAAACCAGTTACTCAGAAATACCTTTTAACAATTCATATATCCTTTCTTTCTTTCTTTCTTTTTTTTTTTTTTTTTGCAGAATTGGGGATTGAACTCGGGCCCTTGCGCTTACCAGGGAAGCGCTTATTCCACTGAGCTATCTCCCTGACCCCATATATCCTTGTAGGCTTAAAAATCTTGACCTTTAGTGCATACATGAAAGTTAGGTCAAATGGAAACATAGATCTGTATATAAAAGCTAAAACTATGAAATTTCTAGAAGAAAACAAAATATTTTTAACTCAGAATAAGCAAAGTTATTTTAGGATACAAAAGAACTCCATATTTAAGAAAAAACAACTTAGGGGGCTGGGGTTATAGCTCAGCAACTGGTATCAGAGCTGGTCACCATGGTACAAGCCTATAATTTCAGCTACTTGGAAGACAGGCTAAAGGATTAAAAACTCAAGGACAGCCTGGACAGTTTATTAAAACATATCACAGTTACCAAAAGTACAATGGGCATGGTGTTGAGTGCCTGTAATCCCCAGAACTGTGAAAGGCTGAGGAGGCAAAAAGATCTCAAGTTCGAATTCAGTCTGGGCAACTTAGTAACTGATTGAGAGATGGTCTCAAAATAAAGGGCTGGGGTACAGCTCAGAATAAAGGCCCAGGATTCAACTATCCCCATACTGCAAAAAGAAGTAGGGGTACTAGAGATGGAAGTCAGCAGTACAGCTTTTGCCTGGCATGTGGAAGGCCTGGATTTCATTTGCCATCACTTCAGGGTGTTGGTAATTGTTCAAAAGTAAAGACTGTTGGTACACACACCAAAAAATACCTTCAAAGATTTAAAGATATGTATCAGGGAAATTCAGCTTAAAACTACAGTGAAATATCACAACTCCTAGAGATTGTTATACCTTTCTTTAGATTGGCTAAAAATTTAAAATATTACCATAGCAGGATATGTAACAACTGAAATTCTTTTCTGTTTTTGGTTGTTTGAGACAGGATATCAGATGTCTGGCTGAAATTTTTATGTTAATTATCAGAATGTAAAATGATATAAGCACCAGCTCAAAAGTGGTAATTTCTTTAAAAAGGAAATGTATACTTTGCATACCCAGTCATTCTATATCTTGCTATTTGCTGAAAAGAAACAAATGTTAATGCTTATATAAAGGCTTATTCACCAGTGTTCATAGTAACTTTAGATTTGATCACAAAACACTGAAATCAGGCTGGCGTTATGGCTCAGCAGCACAGCACCTGCCTGGCAAATGCCAGTGCCAGGTACTAAGTTTGATTCCCAGTACAAAACAAACAAAATAAACAAAGATTGGGCATGGTAGCATGCACCTGCAATCCCAGCACTTGGGAAGCTGAAAACAGGAGGATCACTATGAGTCCAATCTGTGTAGTGAGACCCTGTAGACCCTGTACTAAATACATAAATAAAATCCTGAAATCATACTAAATGTCCAACAACAAATGAATAAACAAATTGTGATATATTTATATAAGGAAATGGTATTTAGCATGGAAGGAATGGAGTACCTACAACATCAGAAACATTTGCCAACCAAAATATGTGCAGAGTAGGTACTATATGATTCCATTTATCTGAAACTTTAAAGTCAGACTTTTTAACTAATTTTCTGTACTTGGGCCTTGAAAGTTGGGATTCCCCCTAGGGCTGAATGCCCAGTGAAACTCTGGGGTGATTTTTTTTTTTTTAATTTAATATATTTATATTTTGGGTTTGTTTTTTGTTTGTTTGTTTGTTTTTTGCAGAACCGGGGATTGAACTCAGACCCTTGTGCTTGCCAGGGAAGCACTTATTCCACTGAGCCATCTCCCCAGCCCCTATTTTGGTTTTTTGAGACAAGGTCTCACCATGTAGTTCAGGCTGGCCTTGAACTGACTATGTAGCCCAGGCTGGCCTCAAACTCTAGGAAGTCCTCCTGCCTCAACCTCTCTAGTGCTAGGTTACAGGGAAGCACTACCACACGAGGCTTGATGGAAGTGTTTTAAAGTTGATTATGGGGCTGGCGAGATGGCTCAGTGGTCTAAAGCACCTACTTAGAACAAGCTTAGCAAAGCACAGGGACTGTGGTTCAATCCCCCAGCACCACATGCCAGCCAGCCTCGCCCCCAGGTTGGCTGAGCTGGCCACACACACACACACACACAAATAAATAAAATAAATTTATTTTAAAAAAATAAAGTTGATTATGGCGATGGTTACACAGGTGAATAAACTTGTCAGTTCCAATTGAAATGTGTTGGTTTTTTTTTTTTTTTGCGGAACCGGGGATTGAACTCAGGCTCTTGTGCTTGCCAGGGAAGTGCTTATTCTACTGAGCCATTTCCCCAGCCTGAAATGTGTACTTTTAATGTGAGTTGATTTTTAAAAATAAAATAAGGCCCTTAATGAAATCTGTAGTTTTGACTAGTCGAAAAGTTGAAAGTTGCAAGATCCTGTGTACCTCGCCTTTTTTTTTTAAACTTCTTATTTTTTAAGTAGCAGTGGCAAAATTTGAAACAATTTAGAGTGAGAGAGAAATTGCCTCTACAGAGCAAGCATGGGCTGAGTTAAAAAAAAAAAAAATGCAAGGTCAGGGCTGGCAAGATAGATCAGTGGTCTGAAGTGCCTGCTTAGGCAAAAGCACAGAACACAGTTTGATCCCCAGCACCACATGCTGCACTAGCCCTGCGCCCCCAGGGTGGGCTGAGCTGGCCACAAAAAAAGAAAAGAAAAAAGTAAGATCAGAGAACTGTCCAGAGGATGCAGGGTGGGTTATCATGAGGAAAACCTTTCTTGTGTGGCAGGCATTAGTTGTAGGATTAAATGTAAATCTTGGAGAGGCCTGGGTCCACTGAAGTAGATAAGAACAGCTCACTGGTAGCACTATAGAAATGCTTAGAACCTGTTTTTCAAATGAAGTAGTACATTTACTCACAGTTTCTTTTATTATTTAAAAGTTACAGAAGAATTGTCTTCTCTCCTTAACCAATTCCAGAATTCTCATGGAAGTTCCATTTGACAGGCAAGTATAAGTAAAACTTGGTCACTGATTGTGCTCTTGAGCAGTGTTACTCTGCATTATTGGCTCTCACCAAGGGCTCAGTTAAGGCTCCTAAGTCATTGAGGAGTAGTCATGCTTAAGCTTCTTCCTCAGGGATGGGTTTGGAGACCTTCTAGTTGTAGATGTTCTCCCCAGTGTGAATCCAGTACCTGTTGTTGGGGACAAGTATGTCCTTCAAGGATCATACATTCTTCCCATTATCTTTGCACGTAAGTTTCCTCATAAAGTAGTGACTCTTAGCTTCTTATTTATTTCCTTTCTTGGTACTATGAGTTGAACCCAGGACATTTTCATGGGGCTCCCTCTTGGGCCCTCTGTAATTTTTGAGAGTTTTTGAGTCACTAAAATTTCCAGGGTGGTCTCAAACTTGTATTCTTCGTATCTTAGCCTCCCAGAGTGCTGGGATTACAAATGTGTGCCACCATGCCTGGCAAGTGGTGACTCTTAAGGGAATTACATGTGATGATTGTATCTGCAGTAGTGCCTATCTTCAATATTGGTTGTTCTAACAATCTTAGCCTTTATTATTTTGACATTGATTTTAAAAATTAGTCTATGTATTGCACAGGGATTCCTTTTGAGACATTTGTAATCTTTGACTCCTCAGTTTAAAACATTCATTAATAGTTTTTTTTTTTTTGGTTATGTACTTATTTTTATTAATTTTGTAGAGAAATAAATAGCAAGAACACAGTTTCAAAACCAGTTAATAGGACAGTTTCAATAATTAATACATTGCATATTGTTGTTTTAGTGGTTATTCATAGTACAGGATGCACACATATTATCTTGTCCAAACACTATTAGTACAAATCTTTCTTCTCATAATAGTTGTTTTTTTTCTTTTTTATGTATGATAGTTTTAAGCACAGAAATTAATTACAAGCTGTGAGAGCTGAGCTCTTCATTTTGGGGCCAGGGTTGGCTGAAGTCACTGTAGCTCAATGATGTGTCTGGCATTCTGTCACTGTCTCTAATTCAAATTACAAACTACTACTTCTGTGGCAACTCCCTTTTCAGACTCACCATCATTAAAAAATGAATGCTACAATTTTGAAATGTTTCTTAGATCTGTTGATCTTGTATATTATGCTTATTTCAAAATTTTAAAAAATTTCTTGCTGGGAATCAAACCCAAGATTTGGTGCATGCTAGGCAAGGGCTCTCTCACTGAGCTACACCCCAGCCTGTTCACAGCTTCACAAACTTCATGTAACTGTGGATGAAATGAATTTTGCTTTTCAGGTTTAGTGCTACGAGGTTTGTCTTAGGGTGGCTCTACAGGCATGAGAACCCCAAGGTCCAGACCATGGTGGTGAGCATCGTCTCCACCCTTGCCCTGCAGGTAATGGCACTCGGGTGCTGGGGCCAAGGGTTCTGTCTCCCTTGTCTGACAGCTGGGACATTTCACCTGTGGCTTTCTGTTTGTTTTTAGCTATCACGTGAGCAGGTCTCAGAGCTGCATGAAGACCTCTTTTTGGCAGTGAAGGTGGGTTGAGTTGATAATGTAAAAAGAATCAGTGATTTTAATTAAAGCAATTGAAAAAAATTAAATCACTCTAAAACCCCATTAAAATTAAAAATCTGTAAGACTTGCTCCCCTGAAGAAGCTTTGTATTATAGCACCTATTTATCTCCACTTTTTTTTTTTTTTTTTTTTTTTTTTTTCAGAACCAGGGATTGAACTCAGGCCCTTGCTCTTGTGCTTATTCTACTGAGCTATCTCCCTGACCCCATATATCCTTGTAGGCTTAAAAATCTTGACCTTTAGTGCATACATGAAAGTTAGGTCAAATGGAAACATAGATCTGTATATAAAAGCTAAAACTATGAAATTTCTAGAAGAAAACAAAATATTTTTAACTCAGAATAAGCAAAGTTATTTTAGGATACAAAAGAACTCCATATTTAAGAAAAAACAACTTAGGGGGCTGGGGTTATAGCTCAGCAACTGGTATCAGAGCTGGTCACCATGGTACAAGCCTATAATTTCAGCTACTTGGAAGACAGGCTAAAGGATTAAAAACTCAAGGACAGCCTGGACAGTTTATTAAAACATATCACAGTTACCAAAAGTACAATGGGCATGGTGTTGAGTGCCTGTAATCCCCAGAACTGTGAAAGGCTGAGGAGGCAAAAAGATCTCAAGTTCGAATTCAGTCTGGGCAACTTAGTAACTGATTGAGAGATGGTCTCAAAATAAAGGGCTGGGGTACAGCTCAGAATAAAGGCCCAGGATTCAACTATCCCCATACTGCAAAAAGAAGTAGGGGTACTAGAGATGGAAGTCAGCAGTACAGCTTTTGCCTGGCATGTGGAAGGCCTGGATTTCATTTGCCATCACTTCAGGGTGTTGGTAATTGTTCAAAAGTAAAGACTGTTGGTACACACACCAAAAAATACCTTCAAAGATTTAAAGATATGTATCAGGGAAATTCAGCTTAAAACTACAGTGAAATATCACAACTCCTAGAGATTGTTATACCTTTCTTTAGATTGGCTAAAAATTTAAAATATTACCATAGCAGGATATGTAACAACTGAAATTCTTTTCTGTTTTTGGTTGTTTGAGACAGGATATCAGATGTCTGGCTGAAATTTTTATGTTAATTATCAGAATGTAAAATGATATAAGCACCAGCTCAAAAGTGGTAATTTCTTTAAAAAGGAAATGTATACTTTGCATACCCAGTCATTCTATATCTTGCTATTTGCTGAAAAGAAACAAATGTTAATGCTTATATAAAGGCTTATTCACCAGTGTTCATAGTAACTTTAGATTTGATCACAAAACACTGAAATCAGGCTGGCGTTATGGCTCAGCAGCACAGCACCTGCCTGGCAAATGCCAGTGCCAGGTACTAAGTTTGATTCCCAGTACAAAACAAACAAAATAAACAAAGATTGGGCATGGTAGCATGCACCTGCAATCCCAGCACTTGGGAAGCTGAAAACAGGAGGATCACTATGAGTCCAATCTGTGTAGTGAGACCCTGTAGACCCTGTACTAAATACATAAATAAAATCCTGAAATCATACTAAATGTCCAACAACAAATGAATAAACAAATTGTGATATATTTATATAAGGAAATGGTATTTAGCATGGAAGGAATGGAGTACCTACAACATCAGAAACATTTGCCAACCAAAATATGTGCAGAGTAGGTACTATATGATTCCATTTATCTGAAACTTTAAAGTCAGACTTTTTAACTAATTTTCTGTACTTGGGCCTTGAAAGTTGGGATTCCCCCTAGGGCTGAATGCCCAGTGAAACTCTGGGGTGATTTTTTTTTTTTTAATTTAATATATTTATATTTTGGGTTTGTTTTTTGTTTGTTTGTTTGTTTTTTGCAGAACCGGGGATTGAACTCAGACCCTTGTGCTTGCCAGGGAAGCACTTATTCCACTGAGCCATCTCCCCAGCCCCTATTTTGGTTTTTTGAGACAAGGTCTCACCATGTAGTTCAGGCTGGCCTTGAACTGACTATGTAGCCCAGGCTGGCCTCAAACTCTAGGAAGTCCTCCTGCCTCAACCTCTCTAGTGCTAGGTTACAGGGAAGCACTACCACACGAGGCTTGATGGAAGTGTTTTAAAGTTGATTATGGGGCTGGCGAGATGGCTCAGTGGTCTAAAGCACCTACTTAGAACAAGCTTAGCAAAGCACAGGGACTGTGGTTCAATCCCCCAGCACCACATGC